TCACACATTAGCCCTGGGAAATAATGTAAAATCCATTAATTTGTTTGTGGTGGCCAACAGATATTTCTCCTCTCCTGTTTTTCCCAACTGCCTGCCTCAACAGCCTCATACCATCCCAGCAGGAGCCTCCCCCACCCCAACACCTGGTCCAGGCACAAAAGAGCAGAAGTGATGTGGCCTCTGCTGTCTATGTCCTGTGGTCACGGACTTCAGCAGTACCCTGACAACACCACTCTCACCCCACCACAGCTGGACAAGGCTTCGGGAAGCACCCCCTGGCTGGGAAAGTTGCATGAGGACTTCCCTGTGGGAAAACTGGCTCCAGTCCAGCCCTGAAAAAAGTCCCTGATCTCATCGCTGCCCTGCAAGAGTCCTGCAAGTTGTGGGGAGGAAGAATGGGGCAAAAATAAAAGACCTGGCCTGTGTTTCACCCAGACAGCTTGGGCACCAGGCACAGCAGGAGATGGGCACCCGTGGGTTGGCAGCAGGGTGGGTTCTCACTGCGCCAGGACTACTCATGATGTGGAATAATACACACTTGCAAGAAACAAATCAGCTGGAGCCAGGATCTATCAGAGAGCAAGTTTCTCCCTAGTAGTATTTCAGTGGGACACAGCAAGCAGAGGAAGACAAGCTGGATATAAAGAGAGCTGGAAGAACAGGGAAGCATGGTGATTCCCTGCACAAGCAACTTGTGTGTCTCTCCCCCATTTTAGCAAAGCGGAAGGCAGGGACGGGGGGATCCCACAGCTCCACTGGCCACCACTTTTGGAAACCCCACGTTCTGAACCTCCGGATTTTGCAGAGAGCAGCGTGACACAGCAGAACCGGCCGGAGCAGCACCGCTGCCCTCGCAGTCCTCAGCGCCGAGGCCGGCCCCGCTCGGCCCGTGCCCGCCGCGCCAGGGCGCAGCCCAGGCTCGAGAGGGCGGGTTGGGGCACGGCCCGGAACAGCCCAGCGGCGCGCCCTTAAGGGTGACACGGCCGGTTCTTCGCCGGCTGCGCTTCAGTTGACTTTCACACGGGGCAGGGCACGGTGCGGACAGCAGAGCCCCGCGCCAGCAGCGACTCGTTCAGGCCGGTGACAGCGGCCGAGCGTGTGAGCGCCGCTCCCCCCGACCCGCACTGACCTGTGCCCGCGGCCCCTCGGGGTCCCGGCAGGTGGCGAAGATCCAGGCGGGGGGTCGCGGCGAGCCCAGCAGCTGCTTCACCAGCTCCAGGCCGATGCCGCGGTTGGAGCCGGTCAGCAGCACCGTGCGCGCCGCCGCCATCGCCGCCCGCGGCCCGGCCTGGCCCGGCCTGGCGCCGCCTCCCGACCCCGCGGGCCGCACCGGGCAGCCCCAGCCCCGCGGGGGAAAGCCTGAGGGGGCGGGATTGTGTCTGTTTGTCTGTGTGTCTGTGTGTGTCTGTTTGCCTGCCCGCCCAACGTTCAGTGCAAACACAACAAGCGCGTCCCAGCCCTGGAGTCCCCGAGGGGAGGAGCGAGGGGTCTCGGAGCGGGCCGGGGGCGCTGAGGGGACTCTGGGCAAGGGTGGTGGGTGAGGGAGGAGGTTGGCAACAGGTCTGGGGTGGTGTCTGCAGCACCTTTAGCACACTAATCTTCACCACAGATAAGAGTAAAAAAAAAAAAAAACCAACCCAAACTGAACCCGTTTAACGTGAGAAAGTACCAGCCCGTTTACCAGCTGTTTTTATTGCCTGCCCTGAAATGCGCATGATTTGCCTCTTTCCGTGACCATCAGATACAATGAATCTGGTAAACAGATAGATCCACGGAGATGCTCTGAGGCTGTAGGCCCTCCTACAGAGATGGGCTGAGAGAGTTGTGGTTGTTCAGCCTGGAGATGAGAAGGTTCTGTGGAGCATTTAGAGGCCCTTCCAGTGCCTCAAGGGACTCAGAGCTGGAGATGGACTTTGGACAAGGGGGAATGGCTTCAAACTCACAGAGGGCAGGGTTAGATTGGGTATTTGAAAGGAATTCTTCCCTGGGAGAGTGGTGAGGCCCTTCCATAGGTTGCCCAGAGAAGCTGTGGCTGCCCCATTCCTGGAAATGCTCAAGGCCAGGTTGGACAGGGCTTGGAGCAGCCTGCAGGTGTCCCTGCTCATGGCAGAGGGGTTGAATGAGATGGTCTTTATGGTTCCTTACCACCCAAATGCTTCTGTGATTTAGGCACTTTGGGCTTGCAGGTGTTTTGAGGGATGTTTTCTCCTTTTTGTTGCTGAGTATCAGGTGTCTGGTTGAACAGCTGCACCAAAGGGGTAGTGTAGAGTAAAGCAAGGAAAAGGTTTGCTGGCATCTAGGGATGGGAAAACAGGGCTGGAGGGAAAAGGGAGAACAGAAAAGAGATAATCAGCATCAGCTGGAGGACGGTATCTGGAGGGGTTCTGCATTTACCAGCCCTGCTGCCAGCCTGGAGATGGGTGTTATTGTTTTATTTTTAGCTGTTATATGGACAGCCAGATACCCATTAAAATCCCATTACAGTGAGCAGACAACTGGGATCTCAACAGTGAAGTAATGACTGAGCAACTCTGATGTATATAAGAGTTGTTATTTATGTTTCTTATTTTCATCCTTGTTTGACAAATACCACACAAAACATCCCTGATACTGATAAATACATCAGATACTAAATATTTATATCAGTCAGGTGATAGCATCAGGTGATTTGTGCTAACTCTATCCTGCTCCATGGTGGTTCAAGTACATGGGAGCCTCTGCTCCCCAGTTTACTTCAGGATATTAAAATGCTCTTAGACATTTCTTTTACAGAAGTTGAAATTTAATACAAATAAATGTTTGATTATACTACTAAATACTAAGAAAAAAAACTCCTTCCTTTTAGCAGATATTTGGACTAAAGGTCCCATTCTCCTTTTCTTGCCTCCTCCTGTGCTCATGCCATTAATTCAGTGACTTCTCAGCAGAAGTGCTGCTCTGTCTATGGCAAAGTTTAGCAAATAATGACCAAGGGGTACCAACACTAAGGATGAACCACAGAACAGGGTTTCACCTGTTCCACACAGATCCTGCATGCTGCAGGCAAATTACACCGATGAGCTCTTCCAGAAAAGTGCTTGTTTGAAAAAGCCTTGGAGACAGGAATCCCCAGCGATCTCCTGTGCAGAAACAGTTGAAGTGCAGCCACAGCTGAGGGCAGGAGGAGCCTGTTCTGAATGCTAATGTGAACAGTGAAAGAAAGGCAGCTCCAGGTATCAGTAACTGAGTGCTTTCCGGGCAGGTGTGGGCACTGCTTGACAGCTCCTTTGCCTCTGTTCCCCATGAATGAAATAGAGGATTATCCATTCTTTGAAAACCTTGTTAGTTAAATGTTGGGAGGCTTCCAGCAGGTAATAATGAAAAATGCAACCAAAAAGAACACCAACAAATAATAATAAAAGAAAAAAGCCGCAAGGCTTACCCGAGTGCTCTAGTTTCACTACAACGGGCATTGGGAAACTTGTGCTGCTTGGTAAAGCACAAGTCTGATATTGGTGAATTTTGGAGAATTTGAGGGTATAAATCATAGACTCCTAGAGTGTTTTGGGTTGAATGGAACCTTAAAGATCACCTAGTTCCATCCCCTCTGCCATGGACAGGGACATTTTCCACTAGACCTCCCTAAGAATATGAAGAATTATTTGAGTTCACTTAGCTAAAAATCAAAACTAGTAATTCCTGTTATCAGCTCATTGATGCTGTAATTCGGTTGAAGTTTCTGCACTGTAAAGAACATGTGGGCACATGTCCTTTGCACTGAGCTGATGGATTCTTCATAAGTGTTGCTGGATTAAAAAATGCAACTAGAGGAAGAGGGGGAAATATCTTAATTAAAGAAAAAATGGTAAGTGGGGTTTTTTTCCCCTTCCTTTTTATAAATATGGTTTGAAACCAGAATGAACAACTATGGTAAATTTAAATTTCTGCTGATAAAATACCAATGCAGCCCATTTTACTCTAGCAGTGTCCACAGCTACTTACAGAACAATATGCATTTTTGGTTTCACAGACTGTATTTTTTCTGCTCAGCTGTGTGGGCAGTGGGTCACATCATTTATGCTGGCATGGCATTTTTGGAGTAGCATGGTGCTCAGCTTTTAACTTCTTTACAGGGAGTAAATTTTTCATAGTCCTTTAAATGCTTTTTAATTTAAGGATTATACTCATTCTTTCCTGCTGAAATGTCTTTCCTTAGTAAGACTTAATGATTCTTTTCAACTGGATTCCTAAATTAACATCTGCATTATCATGTATCTATTCCTAAACTTTACTGTGTCTCCTTTTCTCACTTCAATACTTGGATGTCAAACCAAGGCAGTCACAAGCTGATCATTTAGCTTGTGCCCTGGTGTTCCTGAGAGGGAGCATATCTGCCATGTGTGACAGCCTGTTCTCAGCCATCCTCGTTACTAAATCTAATAGTGGGAAAGAAAATTCCTCTTGTTTGGTGGTTCTGAGGTCCTCTTCATGGCACTGTGCTGAAGCGTGGAGGATAACCCAGCCACCTGTCCTTAGAGGATGGGAGAAAAGAAGGTCAGTGAGGATCTGTGCTGTTTCCATGGGTCCTGGCAAAGCAGTTCTGTCTCTGTGCTGCCAGCCCTGCTGAGGCATCTTGGCTGCTGTCACAAGGGGAATATCTCCAAAAAGTGTTTCTGAGCCCAGTGTGAGGCCCCAGGCTGGCACAAGGTCAAAACACAGTGGCCCAAGGGAGGTTGCACGGACAGTGTGAGCATTTTAAATCCTCAGTCATAGAATCACAGAATGGTTTGGGTTGCATGGAACCTTAAAGACTGTCTTGTTCCAACCCCTGCCATGGGCAGGGACACCTTCCACTAGACTAGGTTGCTCAGAGCCCCCCAACCTGGCCTTGAACATTTCCAGGGATGGGACAGCAGTTTTTCTGTGTAATCTCTGCTGGGCCTTCCCATCCTCACAGGGAAGAACTTCTTCCAAACACCCAATCTAACCATGTCCTCTTGCCAGTGTGAAGCCATTCCCCTTGTTCTGTCACTCTATGCCCTTGTCCAAAATGCCTCTCCAGCTCTGATACAATGCAGGTGTAACCTGGATGAGTCTGCTTGGAAAACAGCAAAGCTACGACAAAGGTGCCATGGGAAGTTCACTTGGGAGCTGCAGGTAAGCTCAGGCTCTTGCCTCCAGTCCCTGCATCCTTTCACAATGGGGTGTCACTACTCATAGGATCATATTGTGGAATCACAGAATGGTTTCTCTTGGAAGAGACCTTATACATTACGTAGTTCCAACCCTTCTGCCATGGGTTTCCAACCCTCACCAGATCACTAATCCTCTTCAGCTCAAAAGAAAATTAATCAGGGAGGGTGGGTACTGCCCAGCTTCAGTTACAGTACTGGGTTGGTCTCACCCCACCTCTCCATGGGCAGCTCACTTATCACTATCTATTGATTCTTTAGCAAATGACTAATAGGTGATGACAGACCTGAATGCATTGTGGAGCAATGGACAAAAAAAAAAAAAAAAAAAAAAGGATAGAATCGGCCTGATAATAGCAGCGAATTTATTTCTTATTTATAGTAGATTAAATGTACTAAAACTAATTGTGCCACACCCCTGTTCCCCTGGCAGGCAGAGAAAAGCATGTTCCTCCATGTTTCTGTCAGAAGCACTGTCATTGTGCAATCACCTCCTTGACTGAGAGCACGCTTGAGCCTCCCGCAAGTGAGAGTGGAAGAGATTTGACTGCCTCTTGGAAAACTGGCTCCAAGTCTTCCCAGTGTGGTGATGTGAAAATAATGCATAGGTAAAATGTGCAGCAGCCTGGGGATTGTGGGAGAAGAGCTACAGTGCCCCTGAGCTTGGTGTTTGTGAGGCTGCACCTTGAATCCTGTGTTCAATTTAGGGCCGCTCACAGCAAGAAAGACATTGAGGTGCTGGAGTGTGTCCAGGGAAGAGCAGCAGAGCTGGGAAAGGTCTGAAGCACAAGTCTGATGAGGAGCTGATGGGGAGCTGGGACGGCTCAGCCTGGAGAAAAGGAAACTCGGGACCAGGACCATTATCACTCTCTACAACTCCTGGTAATGAGGGTGGAGCCAGGGCAGGTCAGGCTCTGCTCCCAAGTAACAAGTTACAGGATGAAACAGCCTCAGGTTGTGCCAAGGGACGTTTCAATTGGATATAAGGAAAAATTTATTCACAGAAAGGACTTTCAAGCACTGGTACACAGACTGCCCAGGAAAGTGGTGGTGTCACCATCCCAGAAGTCTTTAAAAAATGCATGGTTGTGGCCCTTGGGAACATGGTTTAGTGGTGGAATTGGCATTGTTAGTCTAATTGTTGAAATCAGTGATCTTAGAGGCTTTTCCCAACCTAAATTATTCCATAATTCTGAGGACTTTAATGCTCAGCTTAAGATTTAGACCATGCAAGAACATTCCAGACCAAAGGAAGCATCTGAATTCCCTCTTAGGAGCCAGACCAAGATCCTTTCCAGAGGCTTGGGGACAGCAGCAACCCTTGTGACGAGACTGGGCTGCAAGGCAGTGAGGCTGTTTCTTTCTCCTCTGCCTCTTCATGGCAGGCTGGACTTAGACTCCTGGTGAAGTAGTGCTTGTTTAAACTCTAATAATCAATAATGCAGTGTGTGGCCCCAGAGCAAAGTCAACATGACAAAGTTACAGCTCCAAAACAGTGGAAGGCTACACAAATGAGGTGACACGGCAAAAATAGGAGACTTAAAATGTTAATTATTTGTTTTCTGATGCTATCTGCTTCTGAGTCACTGTGGAAGTTTCAAACAGGCTGCTTTATCCTCCACCTAGAGGAAGAAAACTGTGGAAGTCTGTTTGGAGGATTTGAGCTCTGGTGTGTCTGTTAGCGAATATAGTTTTGGTCTGTGGTCATTGAAAAGGAAATACTGAAATGATCTATGGAGCCTGAATTCCAATCCAGCCATGTGGGAGATCCTCACTGAGAGATCAGACTGAGACACTGAAAGGCCCAAAGCTTTGTACTGCTGGTGAGTGGTAGGAATTCACAGGGGAAAATAAGTGTCTCGACCCAATACGGAAAATTCAAAAAGTAGACAGACATCCAATTAACCAAGGAAACAAAGTGGGAAAAAAAATTGCATGGAACTTAAGAGGAGGCTCAGTCTTGGCGGAGAGAAGATACAGTATCAGCTCACCATAGAAGCTGCCTGTGTGCACCTTCCCAAATGGGTTTGGGGAGGGTACCCTGTACAGGTGGTCCCAGGTCAGAGCTGGAAAGGACCTGCTTATCTCCCAGTGTCTGCCAGCTGAGCCCCAGAACATAGGCTGGAGTGGGCAGGAGGAAATCAGCTGCTGCCAGAGCATGGAGACACACTTGGCATTGCCACTGGGAGGAAGCTGTTCTGGTTAATGCTGCTGCCAAGATATCCTGGGGCAGAAGGTGACATGGGCAGTGTTGTCTCCATTGCTGCCCAGCAGCCTGTGCAATGGCTCTGGGACTCAATGTAGGAGGACAAGGGGTTGGCAAGAGGTTTCTGGGGGTGGGTCTTCACTTACAGTGGGGCAGGAGCACATGGTGTACACACACACCTGATCCAGCCTTGCAATCTTGTAATGCATCACTTGAGGTACTGAACAGCACTGGGCTCCACTGGTGGTACGACAGAGCAGTCAGTGCCTCATGGCAATAGGTGAGGTGGAGAATAGGCTTTGAGGAGGGCATTTCCTTTGCAGGTAAATGTCCCAGGTGCCTGAGTCCTCTGTGGCTCTGAACAAAGGGACAGCTCAACATAGGACAGCATCCCAAAGGATGGGGCGGATGACGTGCAGCATGGTGCTGTGGCAGCCATGCAGGTTCCCACCCTTCTGTCACAGACCACGCTAGGTTTGCTCTCCCACTCCACAGGTCTTTGGCTCCACACTGAGGAGAGGTTACTGTCTTGGAAGAGGCAGGAGCAAGGCAGAGAACATTTGCTCAGGGTCACCTGAGGCTCAGCTTGGTACAATGTGCAGAGACCATCAAGCCCACAGGATGCTTGTGAACATGTCAAGCCCACCTGAGCCATGGAGCTTCCCACATCAACCCACATGCTGCTCCTTCCCTCTTCACCCACAACAGTCCACCTGGCTTATGGCATCAGGTTACCCAAGGAATTCATACTTTTCCTGGAAAAAACAAGTAATTTTTGCTGTTAGGTAACGAGGATTTGTCCCCAGCCAGAACATATGTCCTGGAGCTCAAAGAGCTGGAGCAGTTGCTCCTCCCAGAGAGCAGCCAGCATTAGTGCAAGCTGTGAGTGAGTGGGCTGGGACATGCTATAAGGAAATATTAGAGAGCTGGGTAAACAGTGCAAGCTGGAGTGAGGAGAGAAGCAGCATGGCAGAGCTTTGTGTCGGCTCTGTTCTGGTGACTGGGGCCAACCGTGGCATTGGGCTGGGGCTTGTCCACCATTTCCTGAGGATGCCAAAACCACCTCAGTGGATTTTTGCGACCTGTCGGGACCCCAAGGGACAGCGAGCACAGGTGAGGCCGGGCGGGAGGCAGTGGCTGTGCTGGGGGATGGCAGCACTTGGTGCCAGGGGGAGATTGGAACAGGGATGGTGCTTGCAAGGGGCTGGAGCATCAGCTGGGCACCTGGGGCCCAGGGCAGCTGGGCTGAGACAACGTGGGAGCAGCTGTGCATGGGACATGTGGAGGGGACAGGGATACATGGTGTGTGCAGGAGTTGTGGAGTATTCCCCCTGTATGAGGATCAGGGCAGCTGGAGCAGGGTGCTGGGCACATGATGGTGCAGGGATGGAGCTGGAAGGACACAGGCTTTGGCTGGCTTAGCAGGGCGAGCCTTGGCAAAGCTGTTCCAGCGTGTTGGTACCAATGTTGTGACCCCTCTTTCAGGACCTACAGAATTTGGCCTCCAAACATCCCAACCTGGTCATTATTGCTCTTGGTAGGTTCTCTCTCCCCCCAGTTCCTCTGGTGAATGCTTGGACACTCATCATAGACCTGGGAGCTCCACATAGGAGGCAGCCATGGGCGGGGTGCACTTCTTTTGGGGGAAACAGGGGACCCCAAACCACCACAGGGTCACTGAGCTCCAGTGTATTGCCCCTGCAGAAGTCGCCAACCCCGTCAGCATCAAGGCAGCTGCGGCCAAGGTTGGGGAGCACCTGGGGGGCTCTGGGCTCAACCTCCTCATCAACAATGCTGGAATGGTCAAGCCTAAGATGCTTGAGGCTGAAACATTGGAGGACATGACTGAGACTTACACCACCAACACAGCTGGCCCCCTGCTGATGGGCCAGGTGAGTCCCCAGCACTACAGCACAGCTCCAGAAGGATCCCTTCCCATGTCTTCAAACTGGACATTCTGGAGGGAGTGAAGGGCCAGTGGGAGGGGCTCCTGTCAGTGCTCTGGTGCCCTGATGGGCTCTCAGTTGATGAGAAGCTCAGGGAGCCATGGGCTGCAGCTCAGGATCTGGAGCCAGCTGGGGCACTGGGAAAGAAGAGGGAGGATGCCCCAGTACCAGTGTGAATGTTGCCCACTGTGGAAGGAGCGTCTCCCCTGCCCTGTGCCATGTCCATGTGTCCTTCTGTCCCCTCTGTCTCCTCGCAGGCATTTCTGCCCTTGCTGAAGAAGGCTGCCCAGGGGAGCCCAGGCTCAGGGCTGAGCTGCAGCAAGGCTGCCATCGTCAACATGTCCAGCATTGGCGGCTCCATCGCTTCTTGCTTTGGTTGGGAGATTATGCCAGTTGCCTCGTACCGCTGCAGCAAGGTGCTGTCACACGTGCTGGGGACAAATTTACTTCCCCTGCCCTGCCCAGCTGCGGGTCCCCTTGCAGCCCCCCTTCCCCTCCCACCACTGTCCCTGCATTGTCTCCCCACAGGCTGCTCTGAACATGCTGAGCAAGTGCCAGTCCCTGGCATACAAGGAGCACGGCATCCTCTGCGTCGCTCTCCACCCCGGCTGGGTGCAAACTGACATGGGCAGCTCTGCCGGACACACGGTAGGAATTCCCCTGGGGTGGGTCCATCAGAGCTCTTGTGCTGATTTTGCAAGGGTGGGAGTTGCTATCCTGAGCCCCTGCTCATGACTTCCCTGCCTGCCCAATCCTCGCTGGGGCAGCTCCCCCTGTCCTGGTCCTGGGTGCTGGGTGCTGGGTGTCCCCATCCCCTCAGTTCCCTGCTTAGCCCCTCTGTCCTGGTTGTTCAGGGTTTTCAGCTTTCCCCTTTGCCCTGGAGTGCCTGGTTTCTCCCTGGCTGGACCAGGGCCTCAGGCACAGAACTGTTTCTCCCTGTGTCCCACAGCCCCCTGTGACAGTGGATGACAGCGTGCAAGGGATGCTGAAGGTCCTCTCCTCCCTCTCTGAGAAGGACACCGGCGCCTTCCTGGACTGGAAAGGGAAGGTCGTGCCCTGGTGAGGCATCACATCAGGATCCTGGCAGCCAAGAGGTCCCTTTGGCACTGCTCCCACCTCCCCCACATCCTCAATAAACTCCTGCTGAGACCCCCAGCTCTGTTGTGCAGTGCCAGCTCATGGGGTGGCCCTTTCCAGATATCCCACTGCTCCACTGGGGATTGGTGGTGCCCACAGCTGCCCCAATCCACGGCTGTCACTGGCATCCCCATGAGTGACAGCCAGCAGGTCCCATGGCACCGTGACTGCCCTCTGGAGACCTCCCCTCCAGGAGGCACTTGAGGGGAGACTGATTGTGGAGACTGGGTTTGGAGACAGAGCAGAGAGGCATCAGCTGCCAGAGTTTATAGAGGTGGAGGTTGCAGGGAGACCACTGGTCAGTTGGTTAAGGAGACGGAAGTTGCTTCCCAAGCCCTTTTCTTCTTAAAGCTCCACAGCCAAACACTTCATCCCCATGTCCTTGGAAGCCCAGAAGAGGCATAGCCTTGCCAGCATAACCTGGGGAGTGGGTGGGCAGGGGAGGAGACATTTCTCATGCTGGAGAGGAGACACTTCCTAGGCAGAAAACGTCTGTGGAGATGAGAAATGGGAGGCAGTCCTGGGACAAAGCACATGAATGACCCTCCTGGAAGGCTCAGTCCTGGCTGCTGCTGTCCCAGTCTCTGTGCTTCCACTTGGGAGAAGCAGGCAGGGGGTGGGTGGCTGGGCCAGGGGGTGACCCATGGGCTCCCTCCCCTCCAGGGGCACCGTGCCTGGGGCAGCATCTCCAGCACCTCCCCTGGCACCTCACCTTGCTGGCCCGGTACGGGTACATGGGGGCCTCTGGCACGCGGAGGCACAGCCCGATGGAGCCCAGTTTGGAGGAGATGTTGATGACAGCAGCCCTGCTGCAGCTCACACCCTCCTTGCCACGGCTGCCTGCTCCAGGAGTGGCAGAAATTCCTGCAGCAAGGACACAGATTCTGCATGAAGAGGTGGCAAGCCTGCAGTTTGTGTCTTTGTCTTGCTGAAGTGCAAGGCCAGCAGCTGGTGATGTGCTGGCCATGCAGGTGCTCATCCTTCTGCCAGGAGACTGGATCCTCTGGGTGTGCTTCCCTCCATGGGAGCCTTGTTTCATTTGACAGTCAGGGAACGGGCATTGGCTTGGAGGAGGCCATCTCAAGTCAGAGAGTGTCTGCTCATGGCCATGTGAGGAATGTCCTGGCCCAGGGGACCAGGACAGGGGGATGAAATCAGCCTGTTCCCAGTCTTGTGTGGGTCTGATGCAGAAAGCCCTTCTTGGGAAGGTGTCAAGCCCATGTGAGCCCTGGAGCTTCCCACATCCCTTCCACATGCTTCTCCTTCCTTCCTCATGCACAACATCCTCTCCTGGCTTATGGCACCAGGTTTCCCAAGGACAGCAGAATTTGCCTGAAACCGCCAAGGGTTTTTGCCCTTTGGAAACAAGGACTGGCTCCCAGCTGGGATCAATGGACTGGAGTTTGAAGGGCAGGTGCAGTTGCTCCTCCTGGATCCAAGGGTTGGTGTAAACCCTGAGTGGGTGGAGTGTCTGTGGAAAAAGCTAAAAGGAAATATTAGAGAGCAGAGCAAACAGTGCGAGCTGGAGCAGAGGAGGACAAGCAGCATGGCAGGGCTCCACGTCCGCTCCGTTCTGGTGACTGGGGCCAACCGAGGCATCGGCCTGGGGTTTGTCCAGCATTTCCTGAAGATGCCAAACCCACCTCAGTGGATCTTTGCAGGCTGTCGGGACCCCAAGGGACAGCGAGCACAGGTGAGGCCGGGCGGGAGGCAGTGGCTGTGCTGGGGGATGGCAGCACTTGGTGCCAGGGGGAGATTGGAACAGGGATGGTGCTTGCAAGGGGCTGGAGCTTCAGTAAGGCACCTTGGGGACAGGGCAGCTGGGCTGAGACAACGTGGGAGCAGCTGTGCATGGGATGCATGGAGGGAACCCTGATACTTGGGCATGGAGTCCTCCCCATCCATTGGGTTCCAGGCAGCTGGAGCATAGTGCAGGTCCATGGTCCAGAGATGGAGCCAGAGCAATGTGGGCTTTGCCTGGGAAAGTCTGAGCCTCTGCACAGCCCCTGCAGCCCCTCTATGCTGTCCTCCATCTCTGAGAAGGAGACTGGGGCCTTCCTGGACTGGGAAGGGAAGGTCATCCCCTGGTGAGATGCTGATTCAGGATTCCAACTGTGAGGACCTTTGCTGCTGCACCATGTTTTACCTGTCCCTTAGTAAATGACTGTCCACAAACAATAAGTATCATTGTGTGAGCGTCCTTCCCTTGATCTCCTATTAACTATCACTGAGAAACCTCACTGGTGCTTTGAGAGTTCTTCTCAGTTATTTCCGCATATCATTGAGTTGGGTTGGTCTGAGCATTTGTTCTTGTCTAACTGGGGACCTGGACACCATCCTGATAGGAATTTGTCCCTGAGCTTGTCCCAGAGATCTCCCTCAGAACAGCAGCACCACCTTACGATGACTCAGGCACTCCTCCCTGAGTCCTTTCTCGTTTGTCCGTTCAAAGTCCAAGCAGAGCACTTGTTAGCAGAGCACATTAGCTCCTCTACCACATAGGTCAGGAAGACAAAGCCTGACATGATCGTCTTGGCTAGCTTATGCCCTTCTGTGTTCCTCCAGCAGAGATCAAGGTAGTCAAAAACACCCACGAAGACCAGGCCCTCAAATGGGAAATCTGTAAGTGCAGTCCTGAGCCCTCTCAGGGATGGGAATCTATTCTGTGTTCCTGTTAAATCCTGTCTGTGCCTCTCTTCTTGGTGGCTCTGCTCCCTGTTGTGAGCTGGTGTGTGGAGGCAGGATAGGCTCTTGGTGTGTACATTTCCCTGGGGCACACGTGGCACTGGAGGCTCCAGTGATGAGCAGAGGTGCCGACGGGTCCTCTGGGACTCACCACGGGGCTGATGGAGGGGGGTGTGGGACCAGATGGGCACATGGGGCCTTGGGGTCCATGGGGACACCGAGGATCCCCCACTGTGTGCCCTGTGGTGCATGGAGGGATGGGGAGGAGGCAGCAGTGGGATGGTTCCCAGCAGGCTGTGGGCTGCCTTGGATGTGGAGCAGGGAGCTCTCAGCCTCACAGAGTCCTTTCTTCACCACCAGCACTGAGCCCAACCTGCACCAGGGCCAGGAACAGCAAATGCAGCTCTGGAGTCTGCAAAGTACAATTCTGAAGGCATGAAACTAGGGAGGAAACATGGAGAAGGATCATGATCAGGCAGGGAGGTGGCAGTGGGACCCTGAGGATGATGGGGACCAGGGACATTCTGGATTACCCAGACCTCCCTGACTGTATCCTTCCCACAGCACCACTCAGCTCCCCATGGAGATCATTGTGCCATTTGTTGTATTTTTAACTGAATTCTCTCAAATTTGTTGTATCACACAGGATGCAAAAACTAATTATTTCCTCACCTGTTGTGTATCACATTTAGCTGAAATTATTACAACCCCGACTTTGCTGTACTATAGGATGATGACCCCACTGCATGAGGCCCCTCAACAGCGCTGTCCTTTGCAGCAGTCTCATTCCTGGGTGCCACCCCAGCCCTGCCAGCGCTCTGCACAACTTAGGGCTCCCTTCCACATTGCCAAGGCTCTGAGCAACAGCATCCAAGTCCAGCTGTATCCTCCTAATTAACCAGGATTTGTTGGCCAGGCTGTGCTGTCCGTGCCAGGGGAGGGGACAGCGCAGGGATGTTCCTGTCGTGGTGCCGGCGGTGGCACACTCGGTGGTGGCACAGCCGGCGGTGGCAGTCCCGGCGGTGGCACACCCGGCGGTGGCAGTCCCCGCGGTGGCAGAGCCGGCGGTGGCAGAGCCGGCGGTGGCAGAGCCGGCGGTGGCAGAGCCGGCGGTGGCAGTCCCCGCTGTGGCACACCCGGTGGTGGCACAGCCGGCGGTGGCAGTGCCGGCGGTGGCAGTCCCGGCGGTGGCACAGCCGGCGGTGGCAGTCCCCGCTGTGGCACACCCGGCGGTGGCAGTCCCCGCAGTGGCACACCCGGTGGTGGCAGGGTCTCTTCTGCTGTGATCGTATAGTGGTCAGTACTCTGCGTTGTGGCCGCAGCAACCTCGGTTCGAATCCGAGTCACAGCAGCTTTTGTCCAGAGCCGGGAGGGAGGCAGCCCCGAGGGGGTTGAAAAGATGTCCTGCCCGGGCAGGGGACCACAAGTTTGGGTGGTCCGAAAGTGACCAGACTCACACCGACAGTGATTTCCCGACCTGCAGTCACTGCGCAGGTAGCACCAGTGCAGTGCGGCTGCAGTGGCACTTCTGGGAAAGCACTTCAGCTTCTCCATTTTCCAGGCAAACGTGAGAATTTAGGGGAATTTGCCCAGCGTTCCACTTCCCCACAGTTTTGCAGAAAGAGGACCAGAAGATGCTGTGGGGTGAGAGGAGGTGGGAGGCAGCAGCTTGCTCAGCTCCTGGCCCCCAGGCCATGAAGGACCTGCCGCAGCAGAAGGAAGATAAGCAGATTAAAGTCCTCCTGCTGCAGGGGAGCAGGACTTTGGTTGCAGAACCTCCAGGGATGCATTCACAGCAGAGGCAAACCCCACCCAGAGCTGAGGGGTGACCCTGACAAACCGTAGCTCTGGGAACTCGAGGTCCCACGGGCACCAAGCAGCCGATGGAGATCTCTGGGTGCACCAGGAGATGCTTCAGCCTGGGGAAGCCTCTCAGACTGTCGCCTTTACCCTTCCGGAGCCTGAATGGAGTCCCCCTGTTTGCTTGGACTTGGTGCCCTCTCCTGACAGCCGCGCAGAGCTCACTCTGGTCGGCAGCTTTCAGAGAAGTGACACGAGGGGTGGCACAGGCTGGTGGCGGAGGAGGCACACGCCAGCAGCGGGGCTGAGCCCACGGCTGGGGCAGCTGAAAGCAGCAGGAGGCTGCAGCACTCAGGCAGATGAGTTCAGGCCTCTGCAGGGCTGGTGCTTGGCAAAAGGAGAGGGTGGATTGTTTTTCTAGCACGAAATAGATTTAGTTTCTTTTGTTTCTTACCCACTGCAAGAAATGAAGGGGGAAAAAATCATTGCACATTTACTTTTAGGATTTGCAGTTTGTAGG